TATGTGGATCTTTGGTTGTTCGGGTTTTCTCCTGCGTAAGATTCAAAGTGAGAAGCACAGAGCCGGAGACAGAAGCCTGAAGATGATGAATGAGACTTCATCGAAACGTTGCCTAGATACTTCGAATCTTACGCGGGAGAAAACCCGAACAACCAAAGATCCACATATATATATATCTCCAAAAGCTAGGTGTGTCTTACAGTTTGGGGCGTCTTATAGTCCGAAAAATATGGTAGATGGTGCCTTGGGATGGGGTGAGGGCCTGCCAACCTGGTGATGGGGAAGCTGGTCAGTGGAGGGGGCGCTTTCTAACAGGCTCTGCAGCTGAGAAACGCCACCCTGTACCTTTCTTCATCAGCACACAAATGACGATAGCAACGACAAGCAGCAGTATGATAACAGCTACAATCACTGCCACGATCCATGCATTGCTTGGAAGTTGTTTGTCTGCAAGAAAAAAGAACAGAGGTTGCGTCAACCCTGGTCAAACAGGAGGAACCCTGCAGGGGTCTGTTCCCTAGGCCAGTAGTCCTTGATTAGTGACTGTTTGCAGTTCTGACAGTGGTGAAAAAATAACCAGCCATCTCATTGGTGACCTCCGCAGGTCTGTAAAGTGAAGAAAAACTGGAGTCCTATCATCAGGGGTTTTGTTTAGAAACTGCTTTGTTTAACGGCCAGGTTGCCGGTTCCACCTGTGGTTGCTAAATGGGGACTCTCTGCATGGGATAATTTTCCTCTATCCACCATTCCCAGCAAATGGCGGAGCTGAGCTGGCAACAACAAAAAGTCACCAGAATAAGGCAGCCTCAAATCTCCCTTCCTTCCCTGTCAGGATTATGCTGACCTCTCGTAGAACATAGAACGATACAGTTGGAGTCAGGGGTGGGATTCAGCCGGTTCTGACCAGCTCTGCAGAACCGGGAGCGGAAATTTGGAGTCATTTGGAGAACCGGCCAATCCCACCTCTGATTGGCCCTTCCAATCCCATCTATTCTCTGCCTCCTGAGTCCAAGCTGGGGCTCCTTTGGTTGCCCTGCACAGGAGAAGGGAGCTGGAAAGCAGGTTAGTGGGGTTGAGGGAGGAAGGGGGATTTGGCAGCAACCTTCCCCTGCCACGCCCACCAAGCCTCGCCATGCTACGCCCACCATCCATCCCCACAGAACTAGTAGTAAAAAAAATGTGAACACCAGCCCTGGTTGGAAGGAACCGTGGAGGTTTTCTAGTCCAACCTGGTACCCAGGCAGGAAACCTTGTGCTTCTACATCTGGAGCATGAGGTGAAGAAACGTAACTTTGACTAACTCCGCTATGCAGTTGGAGCAGGAATATTATCCCAATCGCCGAAAATCCCTTTTTAAGCATCTTTTCCAGTTACAAGTGCCCAGAAAGTCTATGGCTTCCTATTGGACAGATGTTGAGAAAACCCCGAGCCATCGAGAGATTCAGGTCAACAGTTGAATAACTTTCAAGATTTTTATTTATAGCTTCAAGGTAATATAATTTCCCTGTTCCTTGTGCTCCGCCATGGCACAAGAGCTCGGCAGACATTGCAGTTATTTATTTATTTATTTATTTCAGATGTTGTTAATCTGCCTTTATTATTTTTATAAATAAGTCAAGATGGTGAATGTATATTTAATATTGCATACTTCTCCTCTGACTTTCTCCTAATGATTGGCCCAAAGTCACCCTACTAGCTTTCATGCCAAGTTGGGACTCGAACTCACCATCTTTTGGTGATTGGCCCACTTAGCCAGCTGACAAGCTTAAGGCGGGACTAGAACTCTCAGTCTTCCAGTGATTGGCCCAAAGTCACCTGGCTAGTTTTTATGAACTTAGACCTTAGGATCTCCTAGTTTCTAACCTGGTGCCTTCAACCAACCTCCTGCTTAGGCGTGGGGGTTGGACTAAATGACCTACAAGGTCCCTTCCAACTCTGATTATCTGTACCTACCACTAGACCAGACTGCCTAAGTGGAAGTAAGTGGAAGACATGAATTGCAGGAGAGGGATGTGTAACTTGCACAAAAGTAGATTTGAGAGATGAATGCCTGCCCTAAGCCAAGGACTAGATTTCATGATGTAAATCATTAACTATAATAGTTTCATATGATTTAAACCATTTACTTGGTTACCTAGAGTGGCCCCAATAATAGCTAACCATAATTTACAAAGTTCATCACTACATATATCTCATGGATAAGCATATCTCATCAGGAAGTCAAAATAAAAAATAAATTATTTCTCAGCGTAAAATGTCTCAACACAATCATTTCTCAACATTGCAACAAACCTCATCCTGCCTTTAAAAATTGTCAAATCATCTCTGTATACCATATATAGGAATACATTTGCAGATGGGCCACTAGCAACAGTTAAAATTCACATCCTGCAATTCATTTCGAGTTTTTCCCCCCAAATAATACATAATTAAGAGCCCAAAGCAGCAACAGGCCTGCAATTTTAACCACTTTTTTTTTTACATTTGTTAACTGGCCCCATGAAAGCAATAATTGTGATTATAGATAAATTATAGATAAAAGCAAATGATTGTATATAAAGATGTATCAATGTAGATATTTGTACGAGATTGATGTGTGGAATAATTTGTATAATAATGATGACACAATACTGTTAAAGTCAAGATTAAAGTGTGTTAAAGTTGAAAAAGAACAATAAAAATCATCAAAAAAAAAAAGAAAAGAAAAAGAAAGCAATAATTATGTTTGGGGATTATGCACTTTGGCTGAGGAATTCTGGGAGTTGAAGTCCACAAGTCTTAAAGTTGACAAAGTTAAGAAACTCTGTTTTAGGAAGTTGCCTCAGTACCCTGGACAGGTGTTTATGGCTGTTTTTACTACCGGTTTGGTTGAACCGTTCCGAACCGGTAGCATACCACCACTGGTTTGGAGTGATTTACACAATTTACAACATTTTTTTTTCTGAAAATTGCCCTTTACTTCTGGTTTTCAGCAAAAATGCCTATAACGAACAACGACTTCTGCAAAAACAGTTGTAAAATTGGGTCTGCTGTTGTGATAATCTGCTTTATAACTGTCATGACCCACAACCATAATTCAGCTTTTGGGGCTGTGTGCGCTGTGACCCCTGGGTTTTGTTATCCAAACTTCGAGGATTCATGAATTGTGGGGACACACAGCCTAAAATTCATTCTTGCATTAATCAGGATAAGTCAAGTTATAAATACAGTATTTCTTTCTTTTTTTTAAATTAGTTTGTTAAATTTATGTCTTGCTTTTCCTTCCAGGCATTCCCTGCCCTGGGGGGGTTGGAGGAATTTTCATGGGTACACAGGTGGCTACATGTCCTATGAGAGCCAGAATCTAGCAGAGAGAACAGATAAAGCAGCGAAAATTAAAGAAATACAGGTAGTCCTTGAGTTAGGACTGTAATGGAGCCTGACAATTACATCCGTAACCCGAGGATTTGCAGCAGTGAATTGCGTAGCTTGACCGCAGTCCCTCCTGGCTTTTGCCCATGCGTCCCCTAATCAAATGGGTAGGTCATTAACTGCCCATGAGGTATCTCAAAGTTAGGGATGACCATGCAGGGGGCCTGCAAATGAGAGAGTTCTGCAAATGCACCGAAACAGGCGAAGGAACGGCCGGCTTGCAAGGTTAAGGCCTAATGGCTGTGGAGACCCAGCGAGGCAAATATTGTAGCACCTCTGCTGTTATTTGTACCGTGTTTCCCCCCCAAAAATAAGCCCCCGTCTTATTTTCTTTGGGGCTTGAAAATAAGCACTAGGGTTTATTTTGAGGGGGATGTCTTTTTAAAAAAAAATTAACAGGAGGCCGCGAGCATGGGGGCCGATGGGAGGGGGAGTGATGCTGCCGCCAGCCCACCCTCCATCTCACCGCCTACTTGCATTCAGTGCAATGGGCTCTTGGGGCGCCCCAGCCTCTGCCCACTCTGCCTGCTGGCCTTCTTCTCGTGGGACACTGGAGTTTGGGTCATGCTCAGGCTGTTGGTACAATGAGGCAGGAGGCTGTTCAGCGTATCAGGATGGCATCTCCCTGCTCCCCATGCCTCTGCCTGGCTGCTGGGCCTTGCAGGGGCTCTCCACCCTCCTGGCCATGTTGCTCGTGGGGCAACTCGGCCCAGATCTATGACCTCTAGAGAGCCTAGCCTGTTGCCACCTTCAGGTTGTGCCCCTACCCTGCCCTGTGCGAGTTCTGTGTTGGCCCTGCAATGGGTCGGAGGATGGAGGGGGAGAACACTGCTTCCTCTTCTGTGCCTCCAAACCCCAACTTCCTTGGCCAACAAGCACCCAACCTGCGCTCCTCTCGCTGGAGCAAGACATAAAATGTTGCCCGCGGAGGCCTGCAGAGGCAACGCTCTGACGCAGCTCCAGAGCAAACCTCCACCTTCCCTGCACAGGACTGCAGGGCTGGAGGCCTCCACAACCTCTGCAGACCAAACCCACCTCCTGGCAATACTAGCTCGGTGGGGGGCACAAGGCGGGAGGGGGAAGCAGGCAATCCCGATGTGATGCATGGCCTTTGTCAGAGTATATTCATGAACTGGAATAGAGTTTAGTAACAAGGTCAGCCAATGAGAGCAGACTTGAGAGCTGAAACTTAAAGAGAGAATCTAGGCCTGGTTTATCTCTGTTCTGGCTTAGCTCTAAAAGTGAAAAAGACACTAACTTGCTGGCTTGTCTGCTGAAGTTGAGTTGCTGTTCTGCTCTGAACTTGTAACATGTCTGCTTCTGTTTGAGTTTGCTTCCTGTTGGGGAAATCTACAGCTGGTATTGTAAAATGTACTTCATGTGTTTATAAAGAAGTTAAACGAAGCCTCAGCCATCTGTCTTTACTTTTCTGGCGCTGAATTTATGCTGCAATACTCTGAACAGCCTTCTGCCTCATCGTACCGTAGCAGCAGTCTGAGGAAGACCTGAACTCCAGGCCTTGGAGAGTGCCAACTGTGATCTCCACCTGCTCCGTAGCCATAAGGTGGGGCTGTGGAAGAGAAGGGACCCTTGGCTGCGAGGTTACTTGGTGCCGTGGGCAGAGCCAGGCCTGGTGAAAGTGGACCTCCAGGCACATGGAGAGACAGAATGAGAGGCAGCTCCTGGCCCTTCCTTGACTCAGCCAATCTGTGGGTCTGTGGTTAAGGGACCGAGCCTCCATGAGGTGACCAGGGAAGGGAAGGAGCTGCCATGCTAAGCACTGACTCAGGGTTCCCTGCCCATATTTGTGAGGGGACACATGGTTGGGCTGCCTCTTTTGCTGTCCACCTCCACCCCCTTAACTAGGGCTTATTTTGGGGGCAGGGCTAATATTAGGTGCACACTTAAAAATCACGCTAAGCCTTATATTGGGGGGAATCAGGGTAAGTGTGAATGATGGCCGTGGTGCTGCAACATTTACAATTTCAAGACTGGCTATAAGTACTTGGGGGTGTGTGTCTTGATTGCAACTTTGAACAGTTGCTAATTGAACTGTTGTAACTTGGGAATTACCTGTAAACTCAAACCAGACATAGTTAGCTTAAATAGTGTATCTTTATAACAACATCCTTGTTACTGTTCTTTGGGGTTCTTTTTATTTATTTACTTATTTTATTTGTTTGTCAAGCATGAATGAGAAAGCAAGTATAAGTATGAACATAACATATAAACATACAAGTATAAACAGGCATAAGTACATACATCATAAATGAGTATGAATAAATTGATAAATGGAAACAGTGGGACAGGGACGATAGGCACGTTGGTGCGCTTATGCACGCCCCCTTACAGACCTCTTAGGCATGGAGTGAGGTCCACGGTAGGCAGTTTAGGGTTAAAAGTTTTGGGGGTTTGAGGATGTAACAACAGAGTCAGGGAGTGACTTCCAGGCATTTGCCACTCGGTTGCTGAAGTCGTGTTTTCTGCAATCAAGTTTGGAGCGATTTACTTTGAGCTTATATCTATTGTTTGCCTGTGTGTTATTGTGGTTGAAGGTGAAGCAGGTAGGATGTTGTAGCAGACAATTTTGTGTACTAAGCTTAGGTGAGACCATAGGAGGCATAGTTGTCTGGGTCCAAAATTTCAAGCCTGGTGGCATAAGGTACTCTATTATGAGTGGAGGAGTGGAGGACTCTTCTCATGAAATACCTCTGGGCTCACTGAATTGTATTAATGTTGTTAGGAACATAAGTCACCTAACAGGTATTTGGGTTAGAAATATATAAACCAGGATAGACATTTTAATACTGTCTCTTTAAAAGCATGCTAAAAACTGCAATTGGATGTGGTTACTCAAACGGCCATAAGATGGAGCTAGAAACCTGGGTTGTTTTAGTCTTAGTCTGAGTCTCAGAAGAGAGTGTGAGTGTATCTCTGTTTCCTTCTGTTGGAAAGTGTTGCTGTTCCTCCATTTTTCCTAATTGACTGCTATATTCATGAATTTAATGTAAGTCTGATACTGAACTGTTTTTGACACTGGAATTTGATATTTGGATTATCCCTGGCTTGAAAAACTGACTGATTTACCTGTGAATGACTTTGGACTGCTTATTTTGGACTTTGCTTAAACCTTTCTTGAAGTAAAAACCTACGTTTACTGTACAGTGTATCTGTGTACTGTTTGTGTATTATTCAAACACTTCTCTCAAATACATCTCCCTGTATGTGCTCATCCTCCTAATGGGGAATTACCTCAACAAATGTCCATTATACAGTGTGGATTCCAGGCAGATGAGCTGTATTCGAGTATTGGTCTGGCAAAGGTTTTGTATGCCCTGGATTGCAGTTTGATGTTACCAGAGAAGAAGCTTTGCAAAATTAGGTTAACACCTCTTCATGCCTTTTGGGCATTGCTGTTACAGTGAGCTCTGGGGCCTAGACCTAGGTTCTTTCACAGAGTGAGGGTCGTCTACGAGGTTATATCCGCCCAGGTTGTATTTAGTGTTCTGAATTTTGTTGCCAGTGTGTAAGACAGAGCATTTGTTGGTTGAGATTTGAAGTTGCCAATTGTTTGACCATTCTGACACATAGTCAAGGTCCTTTGTAGGACAGCAGCATTGTCAGTGGTGTTAAATAGTTTTAAGTCATCAGTGAAGAGGACGCAGTTGCTTATAATGTGATCACAAAGGTGATTTCTGTAAATTAGAAACAGAGTGAGTGAATGCTTCCTGGGGGACACTACAGTTAACTGGTACAGGGTTAGAAAAGGCACTCCTTATTTTGACTCTTTGTTGCCTGTTTGATAGGAATGCAGCTATCCATTTGTGCAGTAATCCAGAAATGCTGTAAGAGCATAGTTTGAACAGTAGCTTGTCATGCGCCCTGGATCAAAGGCTTTGCAGAAGTCTATGTAAATTGTGTCTATTGCTTTACCCTGATCGAGTTGTGTAGTCCAAATGTTTCTGCAGTGTAGGAGTTGTAGAATACAGGACAATTTTTTCCTGAAACTAAACTGTTTGTTAGAGAGTACATCGTTTGTCTCTAAGTGGAGAGTAATGGATTTTACAGACTCACTGTTTTATGTACAGCATTCACAAACACATCAGCGTTATTAATCTACAACATACGAAAACACACCACTTAGCTTTATTAACGTCCAACATACATAACATACATGTTTTGTTAATCTACAAGATATATAACACACTTTATTAAGTGCAACACATATACACACCCCTATATCAAAATCAACAGAAATGGACACAGAAAACTTACAGATTGGGTGAACAGTTATAATTCTGATAAACTATTCAATGGTACCCAAGGGTGAGTTGAGTGATTATAATTTCCCCTAATTTAGCCAATTGTATTGTTCATATTGTCCTATTGTTCCTTTCCTCTTTATGGCTCTTCCCATTTACAACTTTTCCTATATTTATTCCTGTTTTTCAGCTGTTCGCTTTAACTTTTTGGATAGTTTTTTATTCTCTTTGTTTAATCGTTGATTGATGTTTTGTGCTAGCACTGATGATATTACCCAGTTTGAGTAATGAAACATCTGCAAGGAGACAATTCAGCTCGGAGAGCATTAAAGACCCCACAGTTCAACTCTGAGCTATAAAGATTCTCCTCTATTTTTATCAATGTTCACTTCCCAGAAGTGTACTGCAGGTAGCCCTGGACTTATGACCACAAGTGAGCCCAAAATTTCTGTTGGTAAGCAAGACAGTTTCACCCCATTTTATAACTTTTCTCGCCACAGTTATTAAGTGAATCACTGCACTTGTGTCAACTCATAAAATATTCCTCTTGTCTTTTTAGAGTTGCCAACAGAAAGGGAGAGGGGAGCATACAGCAGCTTGCAAACAGAAACTGCATTCCACAAATGTTTTCAAAGATGGTAACTAGATGACTGGAGTTTCTGCCTTGCAAAATTCTAACTGGAGAGCCTGATGGATGACTCTGGGCTATGGAGGTGTCCCATTGGAGAGGGTAACTGCCCTGACACTTTGCTTGTCAAAAGGTCGCAAAAGGGGATCATTTGACCCTGAGACTGTCATAAATAGGAGTCAGTTGCCAAGCCTTTAAATTTTGATGACATCCTCATGGGGATGCTGCAAAGTGCATAAAATGGTCGCGTCCTTAATAAGGAACTGTTGTAAGTTGAGGACTAACTATATAGGAGACTCATTAGTTCCCGTCCCTCTCGCCATCCTTCAAGGATGGGTCTCTTACAGGGATGGTGAATCTTTTTGTTGGGGTGTGTCAAAAGCGCATGCGCATGCTGGCACCCACAATGCAATGCACCCTTCCCCCCTGTGCATGTGCATGCCAAACCCCCACCCCACCCCCTTACCTGCCCTGCGCATGCGTGCACCTCCCCGCTGGTTTTTGGCCTGTTTGAGGCTCTTTTGCCCTCCCAGAAGCTTGGTGGAAGCCTCTGCAGCCTCGGGAGGCCGTAAAACGGGCCTGTTTCAGCACTTCTGGTATTTCCGGAAGGCCCATTTTTTTGGCCTACCGGAAGGCCCATTTTTTGGCCTCAAGCAAAGGCTTGAACCTCCGGGAGGGTGAAAAGGCCTCAAATGGGCCGAAAATCAGCTGGGAAGAGCACGCATGCACAGTGCAGGTAAGTTTAGCTGGGGCTCGTGTGCCTGCACAAATGGCTCTACTTGCCACCTGTGGCGTGCGTGCCATAGGGTCGCCATCACGGGTCTATTAGGTGCTTTTGGGGGATGGGGGGGGGGAAACCCTTTGGAAAACTGCCAAGAGGGAGGGGCAAGGAAGGGTGGAAGCTATAAAGAGGGGGTTGGAGCTCACCGTTTATTTGGGGGGCCTCCGTCTCAGGTTTCTCCTCTGGGGTTCACCATGTTGGGCAGAAGGCAAGTGCAAGAGAGCAGATAGAAAGGAAACAGAGATCAGACAGTGAGACATTGCGCATCTCTGGCTTGGTGAAGCCATCCGATTAACAGCTACCAGACCCCCAATAACCCTCCTCGGAGCCTATCGTCAAACCTGGTTAATTTTGCAGCCATTTTCTCAGGTCAAAGCCCTTTTCCTCTGTTCTTCACAACCAACGCAAAACAATGGCAAATGAAAGCGAGGAGGAATGAGAGCAAAAGTAAGGCAGGAAACGCATGCAACGAGATCATTATCGTGTGTGTCCGAGTTAAGGCTTGCAAAAGGAATTGAGCAACTGCATTCGTCAAATGCCACCGAATGTCTTGAAGCATTAATCTCCCTCTTAAACACAGGACACAGGCATCATTAGCTATCTTAAGGTAAAATCGTCTTCTCTACCAAACTGCAAAAACATATTTCTATCCAACAGCTTTGCCAATGTAGGAAGTAGATTTAACTAGGTAACATATCTTCCCAATAACTGGAATGTCTGTGCAGGGTCATCGTCACCTCCATCCTCTAGAGATCTGTCCCAGCAAAGAATCCCAATGAGGAATTTTGACTCCTTCCCGATTCCTAACTCCCCTGATTTAGTGTCCCTGTTGGGAGCAGGGGGGCTCAGGTGGGAAATTAGCCTACAAAAACACAAGCAAGCGAACTCTTGGAAACTCTTATCTGGCCTTTCCCAAGCGAAAACTGCCAGTCAGGAGATTCCTGTATTATAGGCAGAGAACAATAAAGTTGCTAGCTTGAGCTCTACATGTGTGGGTCAGGTTGACAGTCTGTAGATCCTACAATCGGGGCACACCAAAGCAATTTGGCTGCGTTTCCCCAAATTCACCGGTCAGCTTTGCTGAAAGCCTGTTCTGCATCCCATCAGCCCCAGAGCCAGTTTCTTTTGCTTAGAAGATGGTCCCGGCACAGCTGATCGTCAGGAACAGCTGATCGTCAGGAGGGGAAAAAAAGAAATACCTTGAGGAGTGACTGGGCAGGGGAGAATGCAGTCAGCGATGTCGGGCATGCGCGCAATGTTGCGATAACATTTGCGATAAGGCCTGACTGGGCGGGGAGGGGAGGGGCAGGTGGAGAGGGGCGGGGCAAGCAGAGAGGGGCGGGGCCAGCCAGGGGCACAATTTGCTGGTTCTCCGAACTGTGCAGAATCATAACAACCGGTTCTATAGAACCGGTCCAAACCGGTAGAATCCTACCCCTGGGTCAATGGAAAATAGAAATCTAGGGAGCCGAATAAGATTTCCAGTGCCATTTGAAGATCCCTTCCCCTCTATCAAAAGAGGAATTATAAATGGAAGGAATATGATTGGTGATGGTGGTTAATGTCTGTAATTCATATGCCTGCACTGGATTCTGATTTTTCTGGATTGTGGTTGCAGCGCAACCCCTTTCCAATCGGTCTCCTGCACAAATAACAGAGGGAAGTTGGGCCTTCTGTAGGACCTTTTGTCTCCCAGCTAAATGTCAGATTCGTCGTTGGTCCCGCGGACTCTTTCAAGGAGAGAAAAACTTACCAGCACAAACTTTCTTTAAAGAGACTGTTGTGGACGCCTTGCTAACCGGGTTTTCTGCTGCACAAGTGACGTTGAGATTGAGATCGTGGGAGGTGACGGTCACAGAACTCCCAAGGGGGGGATTCTTGCTTTGGACATCTGAGGGCCAACTGAATTTCACCCCATCTTCCCAAGTCCCTGCAGAGCAATTCAGCTTCCAAGTTCCATTTCCAACTCCAGTGCAGGACACTTTCATCTCAGAGTCCAGCAAGCGCCCTGAGAAGAAGATGGAGGCATCACATTGTGAAAGGACACAGAGTCACAGGGGGGCCAAGGAGGAAGGAGGACAGCAACAGCGGTGGCTCAATCCATGGACTTGCTTAGATTAGAGCCGGGAAAATAATGTGCTACGCATTTCAGTCACAAATAATAGCAATCTCAGAATAATTCCCCCCGCTCACATATGACACTCATTGGACAGGGAGAGGCCCACCAGGATAGAGGGGGGCAGGCACCCCTCATCCTTTGCAAGCCCTTTTCATACCAAACCAGGGATGGAGGGCAAGATTACAGATTAACAGATTAACAGAGTTGGAAGGGACCTTGTTAGGAATGTGGGTGGGGGGAGGGGGAGGAAGGGAGGGCTGGGAAGCCAAGCAGTACCAGCCTGTCCAGGAGATACTCCCATCTGGCCCAAGGTTCTAGAGGTGGAGCTCTCACCTCACAATCAGGAGGCTATGAGTTGGATCCTAGGGAGAGGCTAATATTTGGAATAGACTCTCCTGCTCGAGCAGGGGGTTGGACTAGATGGCCTCCAAGGTCCCTTCCAACTCTGTTATTCTATGTGTCACCCAAAGGAAAGAGTAGATTTGATCACTTATTGTACCCTGTGACTATTATTAAGTGTTGTACCTTATGATTCTTGACTCTTGGCGGATGTATCTTTTCTTTTATGTACACTCTAAAGCATTTGCACCAAGACAAATTCCTTGTGTGTCCGGTCACACTTGGCCAATAAAGAATTCAATTCAATTCAATTCAATTCAATTCAATTCAATTCAATTCTATTCTATTCTATTCTATTCTATTCCATTCCATTCCATTCCAT